AACCCCAAGCGCAAACCTCTCCCCAAACGCTAATTTTTGTGTAGTCATTACTGCTTTCGCATCATGAGCCACCAAATCATCATCATCATCATCATCATCATCATCATCATCATCATCATCATCATCATCATCATCATCATCATTATCACCATTAAAGTAACAGCAGCAGCAGCACCTGTAGCACAACGACCACAAAAAATGGCAACAAGTTCCCGCCCACCAATAATTTGTTGACGTTTTATCCAGATACTCGAAGGTGTCATCTCAAGCTCAGAAGTTGACATAATGTAAGGACCCGTCATTGTACGAGTATATATTATGGTCGCAATTGTTCGAGCAGTTTGTCATAATTATTGCTTAACCTTGTCCTGTGAGACTGCGTGAGCGTATTCTTCGTGTCGACCACCCGCCCTTTTTAGAGGTTTTGTTTTGTTTTGTTTTGTTTTTTTGGTTGGTTTTTTTTTGGGGGGGGGGTTGTTTGTTGTTGTTGTTGTTTAAATAATTAGAGTTAAACATCGTACCATCTCAACTCTCAAGTATCACCTGTAACCGTAGGCATTTATTAGCTAAATGTATAGTAAGTGCTATAAAACTGTTACTGTGGGTGGTTGGCGGGTGCTCTGGTGTGGTTTGCTCCTTTTTTCCTATCAAACATCAGTCGTCTTTATCTTTCCTCCTTCTTTTTTTATGTTTGTTACTCTCTTGTAACACCTCTAATCTTCGGCACTTTTATGACCTTATCGTGTTGCAAGTGCCGTAAAACACTTACTAGAACTAAAACTCTTACGAAAACCCAAAACCCTTTGTTTCCTCAGGGGTCAGACGTCTGCGCATGTTCCTCAGACAGCAGATGTAAAGAGGCCCACGAGGGGAGCAGCGCGCTGTGTCTGTTCGTCTGTCTCCCCAGTCCTGACGTGCCGGACGATCTGGGCAACTACTTCTACCAGGTGTTTCGCCACGTCATTAACAAAGGCGAGGGCAAGTCCTCCGTGAAAAAAGACTCGGACGAGAAAGACAAAGACGAGGAGAAAAAATCCTAAGCGAACAGAAGAGTTCCAGACTTTTTGTGTGTTTCGTTTAATTAATTAAGAGGACTTTAGTTGACGTTCGATGTGAAGTCGTGACTTAAGAACCAAAGAGTTCGATCCCAAGATACCTTTTTAAAAAAATAATTTATACCATTGTTGTTTATCTTCTATGTCTTGAGGATCAAATTTCCAAAGCCGAAAAGTAAGATAAAATCGTACCAAGAAACGTGCCCTATTTTCGTCCCATCAAAGTATGGTGAAATTGGTCCTGGTAGATACAGCCCGTGGACCTATAAAATAATGCGATTTTGATATATAAGTTTTTTGGGGGTTTTTTAGCTTAAAGTTTATGATGGTACACCTCTGCAGTCCTTATGCCCTATTTTTGTCCCATCAAATTATGGTGATATTGGTTATGATGGACCCTGACCTTTTACCTGCAAAATGATACGATTTTGATTTCTTTTTTCTCTCTTAGTTTCAAGTTTATGATGATAAAGCTCTGTAGTCCTTATGTCACACTATGCTTGAGAAACGAATTTCTGAAACTGGAAAAGAAGTAAACGTGAGTTGCTTGCGTATTCAACTATTTCTTCGTTACGTTATTGTCTGAGTGAGTTCATTTTTTAAAATTTATTGTTTGTTTTATATCAGTTTAACACCCCCTCTCCTCAATTTTCTCTTTCTTTGGGAGCACGCCGTTTGCTCAGTTGTTATCATGCTGGACTACAAAGCAATATAATAATACTAGATAATAAATAGCATTTGTATAGCGCATACCCCCGCTCAACAACACGCTCTAGATTCTATACTCTTTACACTAATATTATTACCCACGTGGAACCTATAACACTCAAAGACATTCTCGGCTTCCCGGAAAGCATACCCTGCAATCAGCCATTCAAGCGCCCAAACACAAGAAAAAGGACAAGATCTTTCGCTGTCTATAACTGGGTACCCATTCCCACCTGGGTGAAGTGAGGAAAATTTGTGTAAAGTGCTTTTCCCAAGAACACAACGTCGGGCCCCTGACGTGATTTGAACCCACGACCTTACGGTTGCGAATTGGATAGCCTAACCACTAGGCTACCGACGCCATGGTTCGAATCCCCAATATAGTACTCTTGAACTTGGGTTGTTCCCGGGAGTTTTTCCAAGCTTTCCAGCCATTTGGCTTAATCTTGTCGGAGATGGACGTTAAATTCGGAGGTACTGTCTCTGAACTAACCTTACAGTGTTGAAAGGGGCGTTATATCTGTACAACAACAACAACAACAACAACAACAACAACAACAACAACAACAACAACAACATATAACAACAACAACAACAACATCTCTCTCTCTCTCTCTCTCTCTCTCTCTCTCTCTCTCTCTCTCTCTCTCTCTCTCTCTCTCTCTCTCTCTTTTCCTATTCTTGATGTATTTATC